ATGGATACAGCTGTATAAATGTAGCTTTGCAATAGTTACTCTGCTGCGACTTTAAAATTACTTAGTAGCTGAGCATCTGTCATCATGCATTTATACTTAAGACTTCCCTGTGAACTAAGGAAACATTCCTCTCCAGGTTCTTATAAAAATGGTTTTCAGAAAGGTTAAGTGGGCAAATGTTACTAGGCTACACTGTAAACCGGTTGGAAATTGAACTTTTGACTCTGGATCCCTGTCCAAAAGAGCCATTTTTAAAAACTGATACTGAGGTATTCTGTCTTTGAGGTTTCATGCTTCAGGGAGAGGCAGAAGTGGAGAGTTTTGACTTTTAAATATGTTCTCTTGGAAGAACATCTCTTGATGGTCTTTGCATGGGGTGCATGCCATTTGAGAAATGCAGTGTGTCACTTATAAACAACCTTCTGGTGCTTGTTATGAACCACAGCATAGTGCTGGTTTGTTCAAGGAGGAAGTACTTCAGGGTCTAGCAGACTGATAGCACCTATTTCAGAAGTATTGTAAGTTGAAGTATCCTCCAAAATAAGAAAATGCTCTGACAGATCACACCGTGATGATTAACGAAATACAGTATGACATTTTCTGAAGTGTGGCCCTTAGGAAAAGGTTTTCTCAAAAAATGTAAATTATATCCATTAAAAAAAGACTGTTTCTGTGTGTATGAGGTTAAATGTGCTACAATTATGATTCTTTTTGCAGTATGTTAATGAAATGGATGCTTGTGAAGCATTTTATTTTTTCCAAAGTTGGTCTTTCAGTTGCTGTTTGGAAGTATAGTTGCTTAATTTCCCTTGTTTGCTGTGTAACCTGCTGATGTTGTAAGTGTCTGCTTCATTTTCTTTCTTCCCTCTTCCCCCTGCCCCCCCCCCAAACATGCAGGAAGTAATTTTGGTACTGCGAAGGATCTGACAGAAGAAATAAGATCATTAACATATGAGAAGGAGGGGCTGGAAGGACTTCTCAATGAACTGTTGGTTCTGAGTGCCAAAAATGTCCGAAAATTAGAGAGAATTAAAGGTGATTACAGCAGACTGAAACAAGAGCTTGAACAAGGAGAGGCTGCCTTTGGTAAGTAGTTCACAGGCTGTTAACAGCTTTTGCTCTGTCACGAGCACCCAGAATTCTACTGGGTTTGATGATTTTTCTGAGGAAAGTTTATCCAGGACCTAGGTAAGCAATATGCTAAATATGCTCTCAGCTGTTTCCACTGGAGGTGGGGGAGGTTGAGGGGGGAGAAGTGACATCCCAGCAATTTACAGCTTTTGGAGGTATATCGTAGCCCAGTTCTCAAAAACTTTCTTTTCTAAGCCCATTTTTGTAATAGTGATGATGATACTGTGCATTTATTTACATACAGCAAAACATATGTAGTCTTTTTACGTGGAAGCAGTAGAAAGCAGTTGGCTGTGACAATAGAACCGTATTTAGTATATATAACTAAATTTTCTTTGTGTGTGTATATATATACATGTATATATATACATATATAAAACCCGTATTTTGTGATGAGTCTGAACGTATGAGGTGCAAGGAATGCCTGGCTCTGAAGGCAAGAGTTCTCTTTGTAAATTTATGCTGGGAGGGGGGAGTTAAACAGCTTGCCAAACCCAGCCCACATACAACTATAAGCAGGGTGCTTGGATTGTAGTGTCATGGTGGAACTGGGGATGTTCTATGCAATTACTGGGAAACCTACTGACAACAAAATAGCAAAGTCATTCATAGACTTGGCTTATCCTCTTGTCTGTTCTACCCTCCCCTGAAGTTAAGAGATAGCCATGCTGCTTGATTAAATGAAAAGGCAGAATAACATTCAATTGACTATGCATGTACAGTTACTATAGTTACCTCTATAAACAGTTTTGTAGCCAATGGAATATGTCTAAGAAAATATTTTGAAGATGCATGGAGGAATATATACACTCACCCTACTAGATAATAACTTTCTTGGAATCTAGATGGTTAAAAATTTAAAAAATTACTCCCCATAGTGCATTGCTATGTAAGCAGTGTGATTCAAAGCCACATCAGGGAATCCTTCCTCATTGCTTGGATTTGCAAGTGAGTTGAAGGGGATTCTGACCTCCTTATCTGTCCATTTTGTTGCTCCTTTGTTTCTAGGACAATTAAACTTACTACAATACGCATGTACTTCTCATTTGTATTTTTCTTCAGCGGGGTTTTAAACAAAACCTGTGCAAGATTTGCTGAAGCAAGAGAATTGGCTACAGTTCATAGATTCTTTTTTTCCCTTTTGCATTTATGTAGCTGTAATGAGGTGTCTTTTTGGTCTGACCTTTCCTATTCTACAATTTATGACAATAAATTGCAAAACACTGGGTGTTTACCATGTGGATTGTTCTTTTAATTTATTGTGATTCTGTAGGTGTAAGGAGAAATTTATCCTTGTGTAAAATAAAACTCTTATCAGACACATACTAGTCAGAGATACAGAAATTGAAATCTGAGATCTCCCCTTTTCCACTTCCCTGCCCCCTTGCATGTAATCTAAACCGTTTTCTCCTTTAACAAATGGAAACTCACTGAGGTTTGAGAACACTAGTATGAGTTTGATACCAACACATTTAATTGAATAAAAGCTTTCTGAAAGGCTTTTAAACAGATTGTATCTTAAAGATGGCATCCACTTTTACGAACCAGTTGTTGTTTTGTACAGTACTTTCATGTTTGGGGAATAAAGCGTGAACAATTGGAATACAATTTTGTTACAATTTGGTTTTGCTGTTGTTCAACATAACTAGAGATAATTGCGTTGGCTTTGTCTGCACTGTGAAAGGTGCGATTTGCATCGGGGTAGTCGAGCTGACTTACTGCACAGTCTCAGGCTTTGTGGTTCATTTAAACCAGTAAAATCCATGTTGCTGCTGAGATGAGTGGTTTTGCCTTTTCCTCCTGCTCCTGCCCCATCCCAGCTCAGTGCTGACCAGAAATCTGATGCAAGCAGGATGTTAGTGCACCCGGGAGACCCACCAGCATGTGGTGGGAGTGCTGGCACTGGCATAAGGGATGCAGCAGAGGGATGAGGCTGGTGATGGGGAATGCGTTAACCCGTTGCTGTTGGTGACACTGTGATTTTGAGAGAGTGTAGTCTGGCAGGAAGAGGGCTTCTAAAATGCTTCTGCTTCTTGAGCTAGTAGTGTAGCATGGACTCTGTGCTGTGGGTTAAATTAATGTGAGTGGTTGGTTCCCTTGCTTGGTGCAGCCCATTTCTGGTTAGTTTGACTTCTCCCCCTATAGATACGAGCCAGGGAGAGGAATCCTTTCTCCATCTAACGCTGCTAACTGAGGATGTTACTGTCCTCCAGCTTTTTTTTTTTTTAAAAATTTTTTTTTTTACTATCTGTCTGCCCAGAGTTCATTAAGGAGCCCTCAGGCCAAATTAGCCACGCTAACTTAAACAGCAAAAATGATCTGGGCTGGGCGGGCTGATCCGTGTCCCGACATGCAGTAGGGATGTACCTGGGATTCCTCCTTGAGGCACAGTTGTGCTACACTTTGGCTCAACTCTTCATGAGATAGGTGTCCGTGTGCAAACTAAACGCAGGTTACAGAAAGTAACATAGAGAAAGAGGTCCCTTAGTCTTCTTGTCTTTTGAAGGTTTATGCTAGTTTAGATAAATTAGTGGGTTTATGTCTTTCAGTGTAGAAAGGAGATGCTTCATTTTTCTCCAGAAAAGGTAGTTGGATTGAATGGAGCTGTTGTCTCCCCTCATTCTTGCTTTCGTGTTCTTTCCAGGGGATGATAATCTTCTTTCTCTGAATCAGGAGCATTCTCTCTTTTTTTAATATAGCAGCTTTAAACCTTCTGTGCAGGTATTCCTATACATGGCTCTTTTATGTCATCTGGCGCTTGAACTGTTACCTTTTGTGCCTGTGAACTTCCTGAAAACTTTTTTTTTTTTTTTTGTTAGCTGAAGATAATACCACTTTCTCTGGAAAATATTAAACAAAGAAATTGAAATGCTAAAATATGTGTGTATGTTTGTCTTTCTCTTGTGTATAAATTGATCACCTATTGTTGATTTCTCACAGTAATGCAGATATAAGGAAGCAGACGTCAAGGGAAGAGACTTAATCACACAATAATCAGAGCTGGAATTTTAAATAGGACACATCATTAGCATGTTAATGAATTTTCTCACTTTGTGCCAGCTGCCCAAGTATAAAAGATATTGCAGATGTAGTGCAAAAATCAGGCTTGGCTTACTGTGCTGAGAGCTGTCAGTGCTCCCTGTAAAGGAGATTTGACAAAAATCCTTTCATATTTTTAGAGATGCTCAAAAATATGTTTTTCCCATTGGATAATAGAAACATTGACAAGTAATGCTATTGACTAAAATTTTAGGATGAATAGTACTGATTTGCCCTTTAGACAGTAACTTTCTTCTGAGGGCATCAGAATACTTCTGTAAAAGTGATCAATTGTTACTGCCATTTTATAGATAGGAAAGATGGGGACATGGAGGTCATATAATTTTATCTGAAATGGCGATGGAAGCAGAGTTTCCTGGTTATTCTAGTATCAGTCATGGTTGAATTATCACTTGCAATAAACAGATTTGAAATCAAGTGATACTGTGTGTGAGGTTTACATTCTTCCAGACTGCAGGTGTTTCTATAGCTGAACACATAACGGTTCTGGGAAAATCGCTGAAGATCTTGTGCTTTACTGCTGAGCAGATCTGCCTTATAAAGTCGGAAGGTTCTGTTATGGTAAGGAAGAGAATTGCTTTGGAGCCCAAACCGACCAAACCCATGTTTCAAACAAGTGAATCTTAGTTACTCGCCTGTCTGCTGAACTGCTGGACTTTGCTTATAAATCCCATCCTGGGTTGATTGGCATTTGTAACCCAGGGCTGGAAATGAAACCTACCCTCTTGTCTCTGTTTCCTCATTACCAGTACTGACAGGCAGGTTTTCGTGCCTCATTTGCTGAATTCCTTTTCTGGCTGTACTCAGCCATTTTCTGCCCCTATTACACTTTTGGGAAAGCATCTCCTGGTAAATAATGTATGTATGCACAAAACTGGGGGGACTGCATTTCGTGATCTAATTGCTAGATTGTGCTTGCCAAGTTGTCCTAAGTAGAATTTCTGTACTGAATTAATTTCTAGAGGAAATATAAAATAAAGGCTATCATGCACATCAAAATAGCTTTTTAACCCTTTTTTTTTTAAAACTATTATTTGGAGGCTGAGACTTCAGTCTCTTCTGCTCAACTCTCACTGACATCATTGAGTTTTATTGTCTTAGAAATGGCTTGTGTAAGTCCTAAAGCTCTTACCAGCCTGCTTGTAGGGTGAAGCTTTGTGCAATTGAACAGATATATTTATTAAATAATTAATTAGATGTAGCAGAGGTGTTTCTTAGGAAGCTAGAATTTGCTTTCACACTCAGTTTTTCTTTCTCTTGTTTGATGCACATGCTCTGCACGCCTGCACAGAGTATCTTATAGCTTTTTGTCCTCTAACAGAAAAGATACCTATCCAAGTCCATTTTTTTAATTTGCCTTTTTTTTTTTTAAAAAAAAAAAAGTATGTTTTGGCTTAGCTACTTAAGAATAAAATATGTTCAGAATGTATTTTGAAGAATAACAAAAATTCTTCTGGTCTTTTTACAGTCATTGTTCAAAAAGCTGCATATTTTGCCCTTATGGAGGAATGCAATTAATTAGTCTAAAGCTTAATATCATGTGGACAGCAGAAATCACTAGTGGTGCTGCTTAAAGTAATACTGGTTTTGCATACTGGAATGTTTATGAAAAGCAGGTTCTGTACTTCATATACGATTGTATAGGGTGTGATTTACTAAAGTGTTAATGAGCATTTACTGCAAAGCATTTTTATTCTCTTTCAAAGACACATTTCTATTCTGACAGATTCAGCACTGGAAGTCTGATAATAGAAGCACATGCAATGTGCTTCCCCACTGGGAAACCTTTCTTTTTTGTGTGTGTGTGTTTTTTTTGTTTAAATATTTGCTTTTAATAATAGCTGTTAAACAAAAGCTTCTGTGTTTCTCTTCGTAACTGATTTTTCTAATGCTTT